TAAATGAAATAGAAATTTAAGAAACAACCCAAGAGATTTGAATTTGGATATAAATCTCCATCCGCTAAGCGGTTAATGTCAAGATTTGAGATCTAGATCAGGACCTTCAAGGTTAAGATGAGGAATCCACTTTTGAGCAGTGTTGCTTTGTTCTATTCTCCATGACACTTTGCTGTGATTCTTCTCTACTCTACTAGCAAGAAAGACACGAGATGAATAGAGGGTCAGTCAAAAAGGAAAGATCTCGTTGGCTGGAGTCATACTATTATCTTGTCAGTACCCCAAAAGTTTCTACCATCAGGTGAACATATGATAGGTAGATATCAATTTAAGGGGATGATGATATGCCCAATCTGGTTTTATCTACTTGTCACACAATCCCTAAATAGCTTGCTTTCTCTCACAATTCTCCTACCAATAAAAGGAACAAAACTAATGTGTGCATTAGCCAAGGTTAATACTTGAACTATATTTAGCAACCTGAAAGTCAAAAAAGCTTCCAATTTTCTAGCAGAATCCTTTTGTGAGGAATAACTTTATAAAACGCCACAAGCACAACTGTGCAGAGGGTACACAGAGAGCTGTAACTACGACCTCAAGGCCAGTCTCAGGGAGCTCTCAGAACAATGAGGCCACCCTGGAGAGAATTAAAAAAAAAAAAAAAAAAGGAGAATGAAATAGGCAAAAGCAATGTCCTCTCCATATCCAACCTATCTGAGCTCTCCCTGCTATGAATATTTCCGTCCACCTCAGTTCATCTGAAGACACGGCATGTGTCTACAAATCCCATTTACCTGTCATTATTTGTCATATTTTAATCTTCCCCTGTGTCCAGTTTCTAGCTTTGAGTGTTTATTCTCCCTCTACTGTCAACAAAGTCTATGTGATGGGGTCCTTAGAGATCACACACCTCACCGTACACTCTCGCCTCAATTTACAAATGAGGAGAGCAAATAAGATCCAGAGAAGGGAAGGTGTTTGCCCAGAGTCACACTCTCTTGTCAGACTAAGTGAATTTCAGAGACTAGGCTTATCATCTAGTGCTTGCTCTGTTGGTGTGGGTTGTTTCTGTATGATCTCATGAATGTTCTTTCTTCAATGGGGTCCTCTTCAGAGCACAGTCACTTGGTGAATTTCAGCAAGCAGTACAGACCTTGTGCCTATGATCACAGAAGATTGGATAGGTTCGATTTTAATCATTCTTATTAGCATGTGAAATGGTAAGCGTCTTTATATTATTGTCATGAAGAAGGAAGAGTCTGGCATGTGATGACAGATATGTGTTACAGTCCCCCACACATAGGCTCTGTCCAGGGTTGGGATCAGAAATAAATCCCAGCTAATCTCAAGACCCTTTTCATTGTCATAACCAAGGATGCCACCTTATACTTTGGTTCATTCTTAAGTCATCTTTAAAATCACCTCAGTCTTTAATTTGATTATAGTTTGTGGAAGCTGGTGTAAGAGTAGATGTATTGATAGTAATATACAGATTAAAAATAAATTCAGTGAGTGTACAGATTTCTAAAATGTGGTGATGACCTTATTGTGGGTTTAGTAAACTGATGTAACAAATGAACCAGGAGTTTTGAAAAATGCTATCACACCAAAGAAACTATTATATTGACATTTTAAAAAAATACAAGATATTTGATGTATGTTATTTCAATTTTAGATCAATACCAGCTGAAAGATCCACTAGAGCTCCTGGTTACTTGTCACTTGCAGTCAGTTTTTAAATATAACTAAATTCTGTGTTAAATAGTTTAGCTTTTCAAAGATTAATAGTTCTTTCCCTAAATCTGAAAAAAAAATATTGTCTTGATAATAACAGTTCTTCTTCAGTTGATATCTTTGAACTCAGGAATTGATAGTCATTTGGTCTATTTTATAACCAAACCAGATATTTTCACCTCTCTTTTATCATGATCTGTCCATGTCAGAAAATTAACTCTTTGTAGGTAATCTATAAACTCTGCAAAACAGTCTGATCCAGATTCTGCCATTTATGCTTTATTTCCTATCTGAATACTGGTTCTCTAAAAATGTAAATAATGGAACTTATCTTAAGCAATAGTACATTCTTATGTAAGAGAATGCCATAGTAAAAAGTTTTTAATTTTGTAAATAAATAACTTCAAATCTTGGCTCTGTCTTACCACTTGTCTATGGAACTTTGAACAAGTCATCTGAGTCTTGATTTGTTTAAATGTTTGGAGAAATTGTGATACTAAGACAGGTTCAAACATATAAAGTACCTAGCACAAAGCTTCATGCCATCAGGTAGTCACTGTGTGTCTGTACTGGTGCAGTAAGAGATTAAAGCTATTCTATCAAAATAAATATTCCAGGTAGATGGATAGATTTATTGACCTAAAATTGAGATGATTTTGGAGGCAGAGGCATTCTCTGACTGGGAAAGTCAGAAAGGAAAGGAACATCGCCCAATGCTGCCAGGTAAAAATGTAAGTTAAGAGACAAAGTTTAGTCTCCGTTCACTTTTTTTTTTTTTTAAAGATTGATTTATTTATACAGAACGGGGTACAGGCCAGAGATGCAAAGGGTGAGAGGATTCACCAGAGACAGAGTGGGAAGCAGAACAGGCAGATGGATGAAGTACACTGCTGAGGGGAGCAGCGGGCGGGTCAGGAGAGGTCTGCCGCGCCATGTGGATCGCTCCCAGGCAGGCGGGGATCGAACTCAGCGCCATGTGGATCGCTCCCAGGCAGGCGGGGATCGAACTCACGGGGAAGTGGCTTAAGCTTCTTAGTGCAGTGCTTTAACCCGCTGCACCATCAGGGAGGGCCCAGTCTCCCTTCACTTTTAACCTTACCTTTAAGCTTATGATTAATCTGTGGAGAAGATGATGAATGAAAAATATGTTAATGTACCTACCCTTGTCAATGTCACATTAAGAATTTTTTCTGGGCCCTCCCTGCAGGTAGGAAGGCAGCAAACTGGCCGTGGCCACTTCAGTGGTGTGAGTTCTATCTCCAGCCGTGGAGGTGACCCACATGATGTGGCAGATTTCTCCCCACTCACCTGCTGCTCCCCTCAGCAATGTACTTCATAGATCTGCCTGTTCTGTTCCCCACTCTGTCTCTGGTGAATCCTCTCATGGCTCCTGATCCTTGGCCTATACCCCAGTTGTGAGCATAAATAAATAAAATCTTCTAAAAAATCAATCTTTTCTGTGCAGAAGAGTGGGAAAGTGGTCTAGGAATGTAAAACTTCTCATCTCAGCTGCCAGGCCAAATGAAGGCTAAATACATGTTAAAACCTTCTAACAATGCTATTATGTGGGAGATTAATATTTGACTTTTCTGAAACTTCTTGTGTATTCTTCACCATCCAAATGCAAACATATTGTCTCTCTAATTTTTTTAAAATATTTATTTATTTATGCATACAGAACCAGGGTACAGGCCAGAGGTGCAGGGATGGTGAGAGGATTCACCAGAGACAGAGTGGGGAGCAGAACAGGCAGATCAATGAAGTACACTGCTGAGGGGAGCAGCGGGCGGGTCAGGAGAGGTCTGCTGTGCCATGTGGTCCCCTCCAGGGCAGGAGGGGATTGAACTCATGCAGAAGTGGCTTTAGCTTCTCAGTGCTGTGCTTTAACCCGCTGCGCCACCAGGGAGGGCCTGTTTCTCTAATTTTTGATGAAAGTCAAAACCCACCTGTGGCTTAAAAACAGTCAATCCAAACTCAAAAATCTGGGTCACACTACATTAGTGTAAAAGTTAAGTGTTGGGCCTCCCTGGGGGCACATGGGGGTGAAGTCAGCACTTTGAAACAATCTACAGTCACTGCAGCACTAGTTACATCCTCTGCCAGGTAGGTGACCCACATGGTGCAACAGACCTCTCCTGCCTTACATACTGCTCCCCTCAGCAGTGTGTTTCAATAGGTCTGCCTGTTCTGCTCCCCACTGTCTCTGGTGAATCCTCTCACCATCCCTGCACCTCTGGCCTGTACCTCAGTTCTGCTTGCATAAATAATTGAACATATATGATGAATTTGGCTCAATTCATCAAAATCTTATCTATCTATATATGTATGTATGTATGGTAAATGTTGTTTCTTGTATATATGGTGCTAACTAAGACAGCTAAGATAATTAACAGTTGATTTTAAAGGGGAGGGGGAGTCATGTTTGAATATGCTTGCTACTTTAGTAAATTATACATTTTTCTTTTAATCTAGGCAGTTTAACAAAATGATCCTAATATCAAAATTTTAACAGATTTCACCAGGTGCACATTTAGTAGCTACAGGGGCTATTATTCTTTGGAATGATTCAAACATAGATGGCATAGACTTAGAGCTTAGATAAATATCCCTGACATACATCCCTAGGAGAAACATATCAGCTGAAGCAGTTTAAATGCATGGAAGTAATTCAGTATACTACTTTGAGTATTTTGATTTTGATAAATTGAGCCAAATTCACTTCTGCTTAAATAATTAAGTGTTGACCTATTTCACAAAAAAAATCAAGTGGGAGTGGACTTGTGGGTGGGGGTTGCTATCTAGGGGTTCATGTTATTTTTCATTTCCCCACAGTACCACCCAATGGAAGTTTCGTCCTAAGGTGATTCTAGTCGTGATTACATGATAATTGTCAGTACCACAGAAGTCAACTGCTGCTTCTTCCATAGTCACAGAGCATGCTTATGTCCCATGTTCCAAGCTGACTGGAGAGGCTTATGGGAGGTGGTGTCCATTTGGTTCATACCAATCAGGATGCACACATGTTACTAGCGATGATGTTGTTTCCAGAAAAGATTTTGTGGAGAATAGGCAGATACTGGTAGGAAAAGTGGGGAGGGGAAAATGAAAACTGGATCTTCACAGCATGGATTATCTGACCTGAGAGAAAACAGCAAGCACAAAGCAGTCCTTTCTGAAAATTACTGGTACTATGACAAATAAGAAAATACTTTCCAGATTAAAAACTAACAATAACAACACAATTCCAAGGCCAGTACATTTCTTTTATTATTATTTTTTGTGTTTGACTTAAGATGGTTGAATGATTTCATTTTCATTTATAAACATTACAGTAATTCCCATGCAAAAACCCAAGACAGCATTATGTCTAAATTTAATTGGCCAAAATCCTACTTGGAAGTCTGGACATTCAAAACCAAAACCAAAATGTTACTTGGCCTTTCCAATAATAGACATCATGGTCATCCATTGAGACACTGGCACACCCCGTGACCTCTCAAACACCATGTGGTGCCAGGAGTCTATTCCAAAACAGGGCACCGATGCCTGGTAATACCTGGACTGGCAAATTATTTCATTCATGAACACAGGACATCGCTGCATCAAAGCTGCCATCCAGCCTTCCTGGTTCCTGTTCAATAGCAGACTGTTTTTGAATGGGTCTGATATCTTCTATTTGGGGGTTATAAATCCTCCCTGCCAATTTTCCTCAAAGTTTCAGTAAAAGCAAAGAGACTTTACAAAAAAGCTGACTTCTATAACCCCAAAAGAAACACAAAGACACCAACTTTATCAAGGAGGTATTTTCCCCAGCTTCAGGTAAAGTCTCTTCGCAGGTATAAAGCTTTAAACACTTCTCTCAATAAGACAGGAACCAGGAAAATCAAGGAGGGCAAAACAGGGCCCCACAATTAAAGGAGAACAAAACAAATGTGAAGAATTGTTCTGTCGATGGAGAGGATGGGCTAAATGAAAAATGACATTTCAACAGGAGTTTGAAACACAACCATTAGAACTCTGATAATGGTAAAGATTTCATTAGTGCAAATAACAATTATAATGGTATGTTCTTTGATAAGATTTAAATAAGGCTTCAAATAATTACACACACTAAATCTACCATTTGGAAACTTTAATTCTGTTTGGAAAGTTGTCAGATACACCCTCCAAACCATCTAAAGTTCTGATTTGAGGACAATTACATTCAATGAAGTTGCTCCAAAACACAATTGGTAGCATTCTCATTCCGGCAAAGTCTACATCCTTTGCTGGACAGGGGGAAACTACTTAGGCCCCTAGTCATAAGAAAGACATCCAGCTAACATACCAGGTAGTTCCCAGGTTCAGGTGATTCTCACATACCTGTAGTGATGAAAGCTCATAAAACAAAACAAAACAAAAACAAAAAGGAATATACTCCTTAGTGAAAGAGATTGTTTCCCCATCCCTATTAACAAGTTTGCACAAAATATGAAACAGAAAAAAGCAAGAGAATTCATGGTCGTTTTCTTCTATGGCTCAAGTTCTCCTTAAACAAAAAACAACAAACCATGTGACAATAACCACAAAAAGTAAACAACGAAATCCGTGGCAGAATATGAAATAGTAATATACTGTTTCAGAGCCTGCGCCATCCTGCAGAACCAGGAAACGTAACATGTGTTCTTAACAGATCCAATCGAGGCTGGATATGTAAAAAACGGAAAGACAGCATCACAAACCGCACTACACGTGAGAGTTTCAGAATGGGGAAGGGGACAATGGGGCAGCAAACGCTCAGAAAAATTTGTCATCAATTCGGAAATGGGGCCTGGTGACGTCATCGGGGTTAATAAAGACGGAGATGGACTTTCCCGGGTTCTCAGTCACTAGCTGCTGCAGTTTTTTTGCCAAACGGTCATCGGGTTGGTTGGGGTCCCCGCCGTCCGACTGCGGGGAGGGGAGGCTGGTGGTGCTCCCCCGCCTCTGGAGCTCCAGCGTCAGCCGGTTGGCAGCTTTGACGTGCTCGATGGCGGTGCGTAAGTGCTCCGCAGGGTCTGAGCGCACGGAGGAGAGCTTCCGAGCGTGGAGCATGACCGTCTCCTCCGACAGGTGCTCCAGCATGTTGCACTGAGGGATGAAGTAATTAGGGCACATCTTGTTGACCAGACAGTGCTGCAGGTCATCGATGAGGCCCAGTAAAAAGTGGGCTGCATAGTCTTCTTGAGCCAAGTAGTTGGCAGGCAGTCTGTCGCAGGCCCAGAGCATCATGCTCCGTAGGTGGTAGGGGCTAATGGCCTTGGGCCGGGACAGCAGTTTGATGATGATGGCTTTGCAGGCCTGGTAGGCCTGCATGAGGCTGCTAGAGATGCATTTCTTCAACTGCACCTCGCTCCTGGCAAAGGACAGTCGCCATTCATTGTCCTTCTTCCCCTTATAGGAGCAGGCAGGCACCAAGTAAAACCCACTGATGACCTCTTCCTCGGTGATCTTCCCATCCCAAAAGTGGTTCTCCATGAGCCAGCTCTGGGCCACTGCCGGCCAACCTTTGAAAGATACCACAGGGACAATATCGTACAACATGCGACTGCTCCCCACACCCAGAATGATGGAGATGATGGTCCCATTCTTTTCTACCTTTTCCACCTTTGGCATGCCTCGTTGGGGCTTCTTCTGTATCTCGGAGAGGACGATGCTGATGGAGTCATAAAACCAGCCGGCCACTTTGGTTGGGGAGAAGAAATAGTTGGTGGAGCCGTTGATGTGATCCACGATGGTACAGCAGTCTTTCCATTTACTGATCGTCCCCTCATCAAAGAGCCGAAGGCTCAGCCAAGAGTGGCACAAGGCTGAGTGACGCATGTCCAGGGTCACAGGCTGGTTACGGTCATGTAGCTTAAGGGCTGGCACCAGGAGGGTGAAGTCCATATCATAGTCGGTCCCCCGGGCATAGACATTGAGCTCATCTAAGTCCAGGTCCACCACACCTTCCCGGACACCTCCAGAGAGCAACAGGTACTCGTTGGCCACTGGAAGTTTCTGGTCCAGCTTTTGCACCATTCCTAGGAGGGGAAAGAGAAACCACTGATATAAGAAGCAGAGACACAAGAGGCTCAAGCATCCATATAGGATGTGCTGACCTTCCAAGAGACACTATCACTATCAGTTCAAAATCACAAAATCATATCTCAGCCTGCCGCCCACAACCAGCCAAATTCTCTGTGTCCTTCCCTGTCAGTGCCAGAATCTACCCTATTCTGTAGGAAGAATTACAACAGATGTTTCCCTCACCGTAAACACAATATCATTTTTAATCATAACACAGGCTTTCTCTTCTAGTCATCACCTTGATTAGGCAACCTCCATTCAGCCACTCTGGCCGAGATTTCAATAAGCTGCATCTTTTCCCTGCCTTTCCACTGCCAAATCTTATCTATGTAACCTCTGCAACTTCCCTCAGATCATTTCCTCTCCATCTCTGTAGCCATCATAGAAAGCCAGGCTCTTCTCATCTGTGGCCAAAGATTATTCCTCCCCCAGACTCTCCATGTTCAAACCTTCTTCTATCCCAGTGCTTCTCAATGTGGCTTGTGGACAGGGAGCAGTGACGTTAGAACTCTTCATAATCACACTGATGCTTATTTAACGTCTCCACTTGAGCTGTGTTGACACTTGAGATGACGCTCGAAGGTACAAAAGAAACAGAGGGGGCTCCCCTGGTGGTGCATGGGTTAAGTGCTCAGCAATATCAAGTTCTTGCCAGCCACTATGGCATGAATTCAATCCCCCTCAGGGAAGCTAACTCACATGGCACAGCAGTAGACCTCTCCTGTCTTCCTGCTGTTCCCTCAGCAGTTTATTTCAATCTGCCTGCTCTGCTCCCCACTCTGTCTTTGCTGAATCCTTTCACCACCACTCCCCACCCCACACACACACCTTTGGCTTACACCCCAGTTTTTGTATGCATAAATGAATAAAAGTAAATTTTTAAATGCACACATACACACACAAAACAGGGGCCACGCTGCTGGAGGCTTTGTATTGGCACCCCGTGATACTAGCAGTCATTGTACTGGTTTCTACGACATGCACTAGCATTTAAAAAATTCAGCTTCACTTCAGAAAATCCTTGATAGAAAAGAAAAATGGATTAATCTTACTGAATCCCAACGATAATTTAGCACCTTTTTTAAAAAAGATTTATTTATTTATTCATACAGAACTGGGGTACAGGCCAGAGATGCGGAGGTGAGAGGGTTCACCAGGGACAGAGTGGGGAGTAGAACAGGCAGATCGACGAAGTACACCGCTGAGGGGAGCAGCGGGCGGGTCAGGAGAGGTCTGCCGGGCCATGTGGTCACCTCCGGGGCAGGTGGGGATCGAACTCATGCGGAAGTGGCTTAAGTTTCTCAGTGCAGCGCCCCAACCAGCTGTGCCACCAGGGAGGGCCAATTTAGCACTTTTTAATCCCCAACCACCTTCCTAATATGTGGTTGAGAAAGTATAGATGGAATGATCAGAAAGTCTGCCTTAGACTGAAATACAAAAGCTGTCTTCAAGACAAATACTCATGTGATTGAGTTGTGGGCTAACTTAACTGTTTCTTCTTTAAACAACAACTGATAAACTATGACTACTCACACTTGAGTATCTGGCATTTCCTTAAATGTGAATAAGTGGAACTTGTCTTCAAAAAGACAATAATATTTTTTACCAATAATAGAAGTAGAGAGTTCAAGAAAAAATTAAATTTATAAAAAACTCATCTCCTATACCATGAGCTTAACACCTTCTTGAATTTTATACTTTTCTGATGAGATGGTAGTGGAATTATGAAAGTGATTTTTTTGCTGAGATTGTGAGATCTTTGAGAGTGATAACATGTCTCAAGTAGGTGTTATGCAGGCACAGAAGTCTGACTCGGAAGGCATAAAGTCAAAGCTATGAGGAAATAAAGAGATGAAATTAATAAGGCTGATATATGGGCTGCTTATGACAATGTAAACGGTCCATGAATATATAATTTTACCCTCCCTGCCTCCTGCCCTTTAATTATATGGTCATTATATTTTATTATCTGAAAAACTACCAGCACCACTTTTTCTGACTTATTTCACAATTTCCTTCCAACGATCACAAAGAACCATGATTTCATTATTCATTGCAAGTACTCGCAGTCAACTTAGCTTGTGATTCACAGGACACTCACATGCAAATAAATAAACCATGTTTATGTGTTTGTACTTCTATCATGCTTTAGAATTTAATACTCATGTATAAAAATTCTTTAAAATCCTAACAATACTACTCATGATAAAATCTTCTATTTAGTAACATTTCCTTCCATACAAATGGGAATATAGCAAGCTAACAACTTTGGTTATGAATAAGTTACCCAAAGAAATTCAGTAGAATAAGAATCCAGTGTACCTGATTGTGTGAGCCATTTCTCAGGCTACCTGTGCCTCTTCAGTGAGAGCTTCTGATTTCCTTAGCATAATGCCTTAAGGGATTCTTGGGGGCCACAGACCCCAGAGCCAGGTCATGACCTGTGGTCAGGTTGGGGGGAGGGTACACCTGCTACAACTGGTAAATTTGCAATGCCCCAATATGGGGTTCTCTGAAAAATCATTTGAATACAGGGCTCCTAGGGGCATCAGTTCAGCTGAGGCTGATGCTGAGTCTGCAAAGAACCCCAACTTCTTCATCTACCTGAAACTGCTTCTTCCTCTTCCCCTCCCTTCCACAAAGGCTAATCTCAAATTAGTCTTTAATAATCTCCTAACTCCATTTCAGGAACTGTTTTCGAAGAAACCCCCATCTAATATGATCTTCACTACAAATATAGCATGGAAAATTTTGTTTTGTTTTTTTACAAAGCCACATTGAGCAACCATGGAAGTTATCATAAGCACCAAGACAAAAATTTATTTCTCTATTGCCACATTTCATTATTAACGTCATCTCTACAAAGTAATAAATGTTACTATCCCAAGTTTTCACTGTACCTACAAAAGGATCAAAATGACTTCTCAGAATCCAGAGTGAGTGGTTGAAAACATTTCACTATTTTATACATCCATACATGAGTCCAGTGCCATTCCCAGAGAAACAACTGATAATGAAGTATTTCACTCATCATGATTCCAAATGCTATAAATACACCTGGGAAAATGAGATGCTGAATCAACTAGACCTGAATCAACTAGATGGGTACTGTTATTGGTTACCAAACTGCTGTCCCCTCTGAGACACAAATACTTCACACTTCTATACATTCTTCTGTCCTAGGCAAGATCAAACAGGCAAGATCAAACACTAGCAAGAGCTGTTCATGTAACCAGAGCAAACTGCATTTAGAAGAATAGGAATAACTTTTTGCAAAAGTGCCACTGAATTTTCCCTGGAATTGCCACAATTTTGGGGGGATCGTCATAAGCTAAAACTCCCTTCTGCCCTCTGCTGGATTAAATGTGTTTTAATGCATTTTTGCTGATGTGTCTATATGTATATGCACACACACACACACACACACACATAGGGAAACTCTTCTTTCCTCCCAATGTGGGCTTATTCATCTTCCTGGCCCTTCATTCCAAAGACTCATCTAAAGTAATTGGCTAAATTCTGATATTCAGGAATTAAGGTTAATTTTTGTGCCTTTTTACTCCTTTAAAGTACACAGAGAACTTCAGGCAGAGAAAATACTGCTCAGGCTCATTTGCTAAGCTCCTAGAAGTAAGAAATAAAGTCCCTAAGGCTACAGTGTTCCAGTAAACTAATCCCTTGTGAGATCCACATTTACATTCAGCTTGCCTGAGCCCGTTCGTCTGCAGTTTCAGAAATGAAATGAGTTGGTAACAGGAGTTAGAGTCTTCCCCAGCATTATACCAACTCAGATGCACTCCTTGAAAACATTCCTGGGCTAAGTTTAAGTGAAAATGAGCTGACATCAGCTATCAAGGCAGATGGGTTGCCAAGCAACTAAAACAGTCAGGGGCTGAGAGGGAAAAAGACAGAGGAGGGGAAAATAATTCAACTGTACACTTTGGCTATAGCATCCAGTTCTAACAAGTGCCATCTCTGAATTGATCCAAGGATTTTTGTGCAATTCCAGGACGGTAAGAAATGACTAGCTGTTTAGCGCTTACTAAAGTCATGAGTGGGAACAAAGGAAAATGTGCACATACAACTTAAGATTATTAGCAGCCAAGCAATGGAGGAAGAGAGAGTTTATTTCCCTGGGAGGATCCTTCTCATGGAAGCACTAGCATATGTTAGCTCTTTAAAACACTAAGTAAAAGTGATCCAAGGTCTCCCTTCCTGAAACCTATTCCTAGATTTTCATTTATTTCTTCAGAAGACCTTAATTTAACACTCTTCTGTAGGGACTCAGGCCTTAAGTTTAAGGAATGAGTTCCATGTCAGCGCTTAGTTCTTTGCTGAGTATTTTTAGACTATCAAGTGAAAAATGGAACTCCGTTCCTGATTGCCTTATATTCTAATGACTAAAACTTTATCATGTTCTACTGAATTCAAATTATTAATCTCCATCATTCAAATATAGAAGTTCAGATTGTTAACACCCAGGACACAGAACTACGTATCATTTCTTTTTAAAGTTTCCCTATTTCACAGTCCCACTTTAATAGACATGTGAGGGTTCAAGTAGGTAGCTTAATAAATAGCAAACAGATAAGTAAAATTAATGCTTATATAGATTCCTTTAAAGAATGGCTTCCCTCAGAGGAAGGGAAAATAATCTATAAAGAGATGAAACTTTTATGTCTTATAATTAAAGCTACAGAATTAGAAACATGTTATCGATCACTAAATCTTTGAGTATGTATATAAAATATTCATATGCAGATTTAAAAGACATGAATCTCAATAATATCAATAATATTCACTGCCTCATAAAAAAGGGGTATCTTTTTTCTCCCCCTCTCAAGGTGCACATCATTAACAGGGCTTTATTCTTGGCAGTGATTCTATTTATTTATT